TTTCTTTCAAGCTGTTGAAGACAATTCATGACATTCTTCCACTGACAAACTATCCAAAGTTTCATACATAAATTAACTCTGATATCTCTCATGTTTTCGTCCTTACTACAACAGTTATGGTTTGGTACAAATTCTTTCAGTTAGCTTTGGCTTATGGATCCTGATATAACACTAAGAAAATGCAAATCAGTTCATATCATTCTGGGGCTTAAGAGATATAATCTGCAATTGCTCAGAACTCCTGTTGTTAGATGGGACGGTAAAAGAAATTTAGGTCTGTCTTGTGAAGGCGGTGGGAGAGAAGAAACTGTTGCTCAGCCCTGGGAAATTTGAACATGTGAGGAAAAAAAAAATATCTCAGAACAGCCTCCCCTACCCCCTTAATCCTGTTGTTCTTAAAAAGGGGAAGAAAGATTTTGGACTTGCTTCTATGATTCTGTTAATATGGTCTATAATGATAAAGTAGCATTTTTGGAATCTCTGCTGCATGTGCTATTGACATGGCCCACCTCAAAGGGCTGACAGGAAGTTAGCTTGGTTAAGTAACTGAATCACTATTTCAATATGCAGGGCCAGGGATTCAATATAGAATACAGAACATCAGAATTGGAAGGGACCTGTCCAACCCCCTGTCAAGCAAGAGACTCTATACCAGTGGTTCTCAACCTTTCTAATGCCGCGACCCCATAATACAGTTCCCCATGTTGTGGTGACCCCCAACCACTTATACATCACCGGGTGCCAGGGGCGTGGCCAAAGAAAAGGGGAAAAAAATGCAGACAGCCTTGTTTGGCGACCCCCGTGAAATGGTCGTTCGACCCCAAATGGGGTCCCGACCCACAGGTTGAGAACCACTACCCTATACAGACTGTCACATTCTTTTCTTGTTAAAATGGGACCTAATCTCATTATGGCATTTATAGACCGATATTGTTTGACAAGCTCAACAATAATAAATGCACCACAAAAAAATAAGGAGAAAAACACTAATTGTGATAAAAAAACTATAGCTTTATATCATAGAGTTTGACAGAAGGGGCATGGTGGCTTAGAAAGGGTCTGTACTCCAGTGGTTTACGTTCTAGCATTATGTGACAGACTGAGCTCCCATCACTTGCCTCAGCTTCTGCCAACCTAGCAGTTTGAAGGAATGTTATATGCAAGTAGATAAATAGATACTTGGTGGGGAAAATGGCACTTTAAATGGCAGTATGAATTCAACAGGGGCTGAATCTGCCCAAAGATGACACCTGAATGCAAGATGACTTTGGAGAAGCCCCAGAGGACACTGCTGAATGCCCATAAACCTTTCTAAGTGTAGAGCTAGTTCGCCCCCTGTGGTACACTCTGGATACCATGTCAGAGCAAACTGAATAGACTAGCAGTCATTAGTAATGAAACAACTACTATGTATTAACACTGTAGTCTCCTGAATAATGTAATATCACCATATGCTAAATAAATAACAATGGAATGTAACTCAAATACATTTATTAACATACATGATCACATCTCCACCCATTGATTAATATTTGGAATGTTCACCTATTGCCAAAATGAGATATCCATGGGGCAATTCTCTACTGAAACTTTACATTTTTATTAGGTTCGCCCATTGAATAGACAGAAATATCCACAGGATAATACAATACTGAGAACTTATATATCTGTTAAAAAGAATGGATATGAAGGATCTGTGCTTCTTCATGAATTTAGTTCTCTGAATCTGAGCAACGAAGTAAATTCTAAAGTGCAGATTATGAGGGAACTTTCTTTTATTTTTTATGAAGTAAAAATATGCTGCACAATCTCCAGGAATAGGAAAGACTTAGGACATACATTATGCTGTGATATCCAATCAAGAAGTGATGAGAATTATAATTATAAGGAAAAAGCAAGAGAGACATCTTTATTTTATGTTGGCCCTTGCTGGGTTTCAGATCTAGTAAAAAGTTCTGAAATTAAACTTTGATCGCAAGAACACATCTCATATCTGCCTTTTCTCAAGAAATCTTTGAATTTTTGATAATAATCAAGCATGCTGTAGCTTGAAAGGAAAAAAAAAACTATGTTGTTCAGTACTTTTTAAAAAAAATCCATGTTTTAAATCAAAAAGAAACAGTTAAACATTTGTGGACTCTTCCTCCATAAATCAATACTGTTGAATAGGGACCCAAAGTCCACTGAGGTGACTTTGTATAGACCGTAAGTGACTACAAAATCAGCAGCACCTCAGTCAAGCTACTAATCTTGACCCAAGGCAAATCTATGTTTTTCCTCTATGGGTATTTACTGATCCTACATTTTCAACTCTAGGGGTGGGAGGCAGATTTGGCTAATTATTCGTAGAAGCAACATAGAGTAATAGGAATATGGTATACCATATATCACTGAATGACAGTTTCCAGTAATTCTTGCTTTTGGCCATGCTTCTTAGTTATAATTCAGCAATATATAGAAAGTCACAGGTTGCCTACTCTGAGCAAAGATTGTGGAGGCTTAGAGGAAGATGGCCATATGATTGATTGATCCATTGATTGATTGATTCCATCAAATTGTTACTGATTCTTAGGCATGGCAACAGCCAGGTATGGAGGCTGGCATAGGGGTTCTAGATGTTTTATGAATATTATGAAGGATATCAATTTAAAATCTTGAGTCTCTTTTTCTTTGCTCTTATAAGATCATTATCATTGATAAATGCAGTTGTTCAAAATGGATCGGCTCAATACCTATGTAATCCACATACATGAATAAACTAGACTTCTTTAGCCATTTGCTAAATAATTTTTCTAAAGAAACATATATCCAGGGTTATACATGAATCCATATCCCAAGATAATTTCACTATTGTTATACTAAAAAGCAGTAAAACTCATGTTCTTACTTTGCAAAGATCCTTAAAAGTTATAGCTCATAATAAATATTAGTTCAGTTTTAGTTTGCAGAATCAATGTTTTTTTTTTTTAATTTAAAAAGCTGCAAAACATTTGTAGTGCCTCTTTGCTGGATCCTTTAATAAATGTACTAATTTGGAATCTGAGTTAATTTATCCTTTTGCATTGCTTGGGGAATATTCTTATTCATAAATCAGACTGCTGATAATGCACATTTAGCTGGCTTTCCAGAAAATTAAAGGGAAGCTCAGGAAAAGGAGATTATCTTTGTCTATAAGTATAATCCTTAGGGGTGAATTATTTTGAAGTTATTAATTGACCAAAACCAAATAAGTGGTAATAAAATTAGCTTCCTCCCAAATATATGACAAAGTAGATACAGAAGCCTGTTTTTCCTCAAAAGGGTTGATAGTGCGGACACATTATTGATGTAAATACACTGATTTTTCTTCTTTCATATCTAAATCAAACTTTAAACTGCCAGAATGAAGCCACATTCTTGGCTTTGTCGTTGGCCAAAAATAAGTAATTATCAGTACATGTTTCTGAGAGTAGCTGAGCTATCAGCATATGGGCTGGGCTCCATCCTCTGCACATTCACATAGCATGTTGCTATGTGCTAAGAGTCTCCACTTGACCATATTGGTTTTACATTTAGGCACAACAACTCTCAACCTATTAAGGGTCCTCAAAACAATATAAAGGAGGTCAGATCCTTCAGCCATATCCTCCTTTAATGTTATTCCTTCCTTGAACGTCTCCTTCCTCCACCTTTAATTCGATTTTGTTCTTGTGTACCCTCAAGAATGTTCGTTCTTGCACAAATATATTGATGATGCAAACAAACAGAAATGCTCACTTTTTCCACTCCTAATAGGCTTTTTCCAATGAAGGAGGAGCCAAGGAACAAGGACATCTGAACACAAGATAAGGTTTAGATGAAGACCTTTAGTTCATCTAGCCCAGCATTACCAGTAAATTACTATTATCAGTAATTTTCATCATGTAATTTTTCCCCTCAATTTCTCATGGAGATGCTGGGAATCAACCTTAAAATCTTTTTGCATAAAAACATGTACTATGGTACACCACCCTCTGAGGGAGATGGGCAGTTAAGAAATATGAAATGTAAACAAACAATAAATAAAGTTGGACCTATTATTAATGACACTAATCTGAGGATGAGATAAAGGAGCATATAAATGTTACAACATAAAATGCTAGATTCTCTAAGAGATCATCAACCAAATTTGTGTGTACTCTCTACAGATTTTGTTCCCATTTAATGTGCATTCCATGCTAGCATTTGCTTCAGATAAAAGCCATCTAATGTGCATGTATACACAAACACACACACAGACAGAGTTTGCTGTTGACATGGTTTTCTTGTCTGCTTTCCAGGAAGAATTCAAAAACCAGAGATCACACTGAAATACATAAAGATGCAGATGCTGAAATCAGTGCCACCAGAGTGGATGATTCAAGAAGAGAAGGTAGCATCAATTGTAGAGGTTTTGTTTCTCATTTCTTAACAACATCATTTCAGAGACTATCTCAAAGATTTGTGTCAAATCCACATGATGTCAATTCTAAGCTTTGATGATCCCTGTATTGTTACTCCTTCAGCCTTATATTTCAGTTGCTGAACAGTCAGATCACTAAGGATTGGCTTCATATGAAACAACATATAATTCTTGCTTCAAATGCTTGTTGAATTTCAAAATATGTCATATTCTAGTCAAAACAGGGCTCAGTAGGGTTTTCTTCCAAATAAACAATGTAGCTACATTGAACTTAGGGCTTGTTTGCTTTATTACGTGTGTGTGTGTGTGTGTGTGTGTGAGAGAGAGAGAGAGAGAGGGGGGGGAGAGAGGGGGGGAGAGAGAGACAGAGCGCTTTTAGAACATTTTTTCCTTAATGCCAAAGTGCCACTAAATTAGGGTGGGCAGATTTTATCCCTAGAGGTCTCTCTCTTTTTCGTAATATGAGTAAATGATTTATATATGTCTATACAACAGGTATGATAAATTTGGGACATTATATTATGTACGGCAATTAAACAAGAGATTTCATAGAAATTGCTAGAGTAAGCAAACAACCTACCAGAATACTTAGTCCATCTTCTACCCTTCTTAATTCCTGGCCCGTAAAGCAGGTACTCTAGAAGTAATTCTACTGGCTTGAGTCACACACACAAAGGACTTCTTTTGGGAGACTAGCAAGACTGAAGCCAACCCACTTGTGTCAAAGTGCCAGTCTTTCTTCATAGTCTTAATCTGTTTAAAACAGGAAGAGAATATTGAGTTCAATATTGTTTACAAAATAATATTTACTGCACATTGTATAAGAATTCATAAAGACTGAATTATGTTTGAATTTGATCAAGGAAGGAGGAAGTGATTAACAGAATACTGCATGTCATAAAAGCAAAAGTGGCTTGTATAAAACAAAATTAGCATTATATTAATCTTCGGTAAATTTAAGATGCACAGTTTAATAGGTGGACATTAATCATATTCTATTAGGTATCTCTTTTCTTCTCTAAGAAAATCACAACCACAAAGATTCCAAAAATCACACCCAATGAAAAGCAGTTGTATACACATACATATGGCTTATCATCCATGCTTATTGTCCATTCTTGTATTAGAAATCACATTGAAATCACATTTAAAATCTGAACATTCCCTTTACAGCATGGGTTCTACTTAAAAAATCACTGACACACTTATTAAAAAAAAATGAAGTCTTTAAATCAAAGAATTAGTTTTCTTTTTTTTTAAAAAAAAAATCCTTTTTTTGTCCAAGAAATGAATTCAGTTAATCCATGAATGAAAAGTAAAAACTATTATTTAATCATTTATCTTATCGTAAGGATATTTAGGTATTTCATGTCAAATAATGTGAATATGAGGTGTTCTGTCTACTCCACTAGTATCAAGGACCATTTTCATTATTCATTATTACGCTTTATTGCACAGCCACCCAGATGTTCAGACTGAATCAGCATTTTTATCATTGAGTCCTTTCTAAGGACCTGTGATAGGCAGATGTTGATGTCTGATGGTGTTAGGGATTGTTGCAGGATGTATGCTATTGCAAACAAAGCTGCCTTTTACAATTGGCAGATAGTGAATTTGCTAATGCTAATGTTGTTCAAGTGGTGCTCCAGTTGTTTTGGTAATGTACTCTACAGGTACCTATTACTATTATAATTATAATAATATTTATAAAATTTTATGATCACCCATTCTAAAATGCTCTGTTCACCTTATAGTATTGGACTATACAATTAAAATTGTTAAAAACAGAACCACCTACCTTAAAAAGAATAAACATAATAATTAAAAAATAATAATCTCCACATATACAACACGGGCTTCACAAACACACTAACCCTGTTCCCAAATGAGAACAGAGCCAGTCTTGAGGGACTTCCAAAATCACTGGAGAGTGGGCATGATACGTACACCATTCTCTGTACTGGGTGGGCAAAACAATTTGAAATAGATGGACCCACAAATAACCAGTCCCTATGCCATGAAGTGTTTTATAGGCCATGAATTGCTTTTGCAATTCACAAGTCACTTTGGGAGTCAGTGTAGTTAACAGAGAGCTCCATAATGCAAATATGAACTTATTTAATGTCTATATAGCAACATTTTTCCAGTAAAACTAAAAATTAAAGTCCCTTTCAATTCAGCTCAACTTCTGGTGACTGTTTGGAGGTGTCTGGATATTTTCTTGGCATCTTATCAGAAGTGATTTGCCCCAGCTTTCTTCTTAGATGCTTTTGGACTTTCCAAGCAAGCCTAGAGGAGTGGTATATGGGAGAGTGGAGCTCTTCTATTTATCCAAGCCCTAAGCAAGCTGGATTCTGCACAGTGGTGGGATTCAGCCAGTTCGCACCAATTCGGCAGAACTGGTAGCTATTTTTTTGTTGCCCAGGCCCAGAACAGACTTCTGGAAGTGGCATCCACACAGAGAACTGGTTGTTCACATATTTGAATCCCACCACTGGCTAATGTGTACGCTGCTAGTGATCAGGTCCAGAAAAGGTTTGTAGTATTTATTTATTTGAATCCTGCCTTTACTATTTTTATGAATAACCTAAGGTGGCCAACATATCCAACACACCTTCCTCCTCTTTTCCTCATGAAAACAAACATGTGAGGTGAGTTGGGCTAGAGCAGGGGTAGGATACCTTGGCTCAGGAATTCTGGGAGTTGAAGTCATAAAAGAGCCAAGGTTGCCAACCCCTGGGCTAGAGAGAGTGACTGGCCATTGACTGAGTGAGTCAGCAAGCTGGCTTTCCTAGCTAAGGCAGAACTTTAACACCTGGACTGCTGCTTTTTAATATAGTGCCTTAACTACTATCTCAAACTGCTACAACAATACTAGGCTAGTCCCAGTAAAACTATACATTTAAAAATATTTGCTCCCTTCCAAGAAAAAAATGTAGAGTGTTCCAAAAAATTCCAATTCAAAAACTGAATCAATTTTTCTTCACCTCAGAAAATGAATGAATGGTTTGTCCTAAGGAGCAGTTTATACAATCTATGTGGGATTTATTTCCTGGTAAATGTGTTTAGAGTCACAGACTGCAGGTAATTCATCATCAAAATGCAGCTAGTCCATTCAAGTAGGTTAGGGACAAGAAAAACAAAAAAGATGAAACACATTGTTCTTATTAAAATAAATAGCAGCAGTAAAAACTTCAGTATTTCAGTAGCACTATACATTAGCTTGCTTTGTGCAAAGCAAGAAAGAAGTGCTTCAGGGAGGATCAAGAAAGCAAAGGTTAGATCTTTTTTTGTTATAAACTGCTACCAAATAACCCTCAATATACTCTGTAACAGTGAAGCAACAGACAAGAAGACAAAGGCTGTAAGAAGTAAAACTAATTATGAAAAATTATCCATCAAAACCACAGTCAATTCCCAGGTATTGGAGATCAAAAGCGTTTCTCCATATGCCTGAACATCTTTATATATCATTCTGCATCAATAGTCTGAATGAAATTATCCAAGTATTTATGCAGGGGATTCAGCTATTTGCCCTAGTTGATATATTTCCACGAAATAATCTGTTAATATCCAAACATTTTTCCTCACTCGTAATGATTCATGAATTCATGAATAATTTGATGAACACTTATAACTTATGGAAACTAGTTATTGACTGTGTGTGATTAGTCACTTCTCAGCTTTTTAAGCGGAACATTAGGTTCTCCTCAGAGATTCGGTGAATATTGTCCTGTGTTAGGTTTATAACCTAGGGTCCATTGCAGCTTAGCCCTTGAGGGGACTCGAACAGTCCCAGATCACTTCGATTTCTTGCCATATCCATCCTTCTAGAAACATAGATGGAAATAAAAGAAAGTAAAGATAAAGGAGTCTCTATGGACTTTACTCTGCTAGTCGTTGCTGACTTTAGGGGGTGGTGCTCATTTCCGTTTCAAGGGCCATTGAGGTAGTGCTGTCCAAAGTTGTTTCTGTGGTCATGTGGCCAGCGTGACGTTGCATATTGCTGTTACCTTCCCCTTGGAAGTGGTACATATTTATCTACTTGAATTTGCATGCTTTTGAACTGTTAGGCTGGCAAGAGGTAGGACGATGAAAGGAATTCACCCTGTCGTGTGATGCTTGGGCCTTGAACCTGGGTTTGTCAGTTTCCAGCTGACCAGCCCAGCATCTTAATCATTGAGCCATTGCACCACCTCCTAGAAACATCAGTGGGAATATCTGAAGAAAATATAATGAAATGTGTGAATCCAACTCAGGAGCATATTAACAGGCAAGGAATAAGAGTTATAGGATGTGTTCTAATCTTTGGAAGACAAGATTGTGATTGTGTCGAATACAATGTTTTTTTAAAAAAAATAGGGGGGGGGAGAGGCAGTTAAACTGCAACATACTCTTCCTGCTTTTCCAATTTGTTTTTGCCTTTTTTTCAATTCTTTAACAAAAAGGAGTAAAAAAATAGCCATCCCCTCTCTCAACAGAAAAGATTCTTACACGTCCCTTTGTTACAAGTGGTGCAATGGCTCAGTCATTAAGAAGGGTACTAATAGATTTTGTATTTCACTGAGCAATCACCTGTCCTATACTTCGCAGCCTTCTTCCTGCTCAGACATGAACTGAATTTTAAGGAAATTCCTCTATGAATCTTTTTTTTCTCTGATCAGAAAATGAGAGTTATTACTGAGGCTGCAGAGCAATAAAAGAACAGTTGACAACAGCAACAATACATTGCTGAAAGAAATTCTAAAGCATCCGAAAGCAAGGAGGAGAAATAGATGTCTTTTACACAGCTTTTTAAAAAAGAATTTTTTCAGGTAATTGCAAGTCAGATTTTGTCATACTATTAGCTGTAGCCAGCATCCCAGGAATGTGTTCACATTCTTCCTATAGACTTCACCCAGTGGTGGGATTCAGCCAGTTCGCACCAGTTCAGCAGAACCATATGCACCATCTTACACTGTATTTTGAACGTGGAAGGCAGCTTCTCAATGCACTTTCTTTAAAGTTATAACAGTAAAACTTTGTCTTGGGGAAGAAAAAGGCCTCATTCACATTTCCTTCACATTAAAGGCAAGTTTAGCTAATGACGTGGTCTAATGAGTGGTTTATGCCTTCTGACAAACCAAATGAGGTTTATCAGCAGAGGCTTTAGGCAGCATGGAATTGCTGCAATTTTACATCTCATTGATTATCAGAATGAGAACAGCAAACATTCATGAGGCATAAAATACACCCTTCTTCACATACCACGGAGTTCTACACAGAGGAAACAAAGAGAAACAACTGTAGGGGCACTCTTTTCCCTGTTCAACCAATTCATTCACAGAGAAGCTAGCATCACATTTTCAAAAATGAAATAACACATAACGGAATTTGTCTTTGTACAGGTAGTCTGGAACTGGATCAAATCAAAGAGGAGGGAACTCCAAGAATTCTACGGTATGTTTGATTTTCATATTAAAAAAATCTTAATAAACTTTATTGTGCAAAGGCAGAGAACATGTGTCACAATCTGATGACACCGAACCAACAGAAAACATTTAGAAATACTTTATTAAGATGGTATAATGCAACTTCCTTGATTTTGAATTTCTTTATGACATGCATAATTTCCTCCCTTAAGGAAAAGAAGTAAATATTTGCACATATGAAGAAATCCTGCTAAATGTTTCATGACTTAAGGCTACATGGATTTGCTTGTTTCTCCTCCCTTTTTATGCTGGACTAACTTCTTTAACATTCCTCTAGAAACC